GGAATGCGGTTGCAAACTACGCAATGAAAACAAATGCCCGCGAGCAGTTCTGGTTCAAAAGGTTTGATGCTTTCTTCAGAGGTTTTTTCCATTCTCTTCCACAGGCTGGCAGCACCAAATTTAATCGAGCTAAACTGCTGAATGTAGGATACCTAGAGGCCCTAAAAGAAGCGAACTGGGACTGTTTCATTTTCCATGATGTGGATCTGGTGCCAGAAAATGACTTCAACATTTACATGTGTGACAGACAACCAAAGCACCTTGTAGTTGGCAGGAACAATACTGGATACAGGTAAGAAACCAGGAATATGGAAAGAATACCAACTGGGAAATGCCAGGTTACTGATAATGTTCCTCTTCTGATGGAGCTGTATGCTGTTATCTACCAGATTTCTAGTGGTAACACTCTGCCTGTCTGGAGCGCCTTCTGACAAAAGATAATTGTATGGACATCTCTGAAGTGAGCTCCATGGTCACCTGTATGAATGATCATTGTCATAATTCTGGTTTCTGGGGTGAGGTAAAGGGCGTTTCGAGAGGAAAGCAACGTGACCGAGGTTGTGTGAAGACCTTCTGTCAAAGCTAGAAATACATTTGCAGTCTTCTAGTCCTGTGATTTGACTCTCTGATCTTACTGTTGTGCTAATAAAACTTGCCACTTAGCTTTTGCTGTTGGAGAGGTAGCTTCTGATATTGAGAGCTCAAGTGTGAGAATTTGCCAAGGGATAGGGCATCCTTTAATTATTTGGCTGTACAGCATCTAATACATGATTTGTTCTGATTTTTAAATGGGTCCCCTAAGTGATAATGGGATATAAATAATTTAAAGTTAAAAGTCAGGTTCAGTCCACCTCAGAGAGAAAAACTGCTCCTGTGCTTGGTGAATTTAATGACTAGAGTGGTTTCATTGACTGTGTTTCTTTCAAGAGTCACCTCTTATGTCATGTCACTCTAAATATTAATTAGAAGTGGGCTTTTCAAAAGCTGATATCAGAGTACTTTGAAGTAAATGTCTGCTTCACTTCTGGGTTTCCTTTGTTAAATATATGAGGAAAGAGGTGGGATGTACAAATTCTTATACAGAATAATATACCCACTTTCCAGTTATTCAGTGAAAACAGGAACAAGCACAAATGAACTAGGCTCGTGAAAAGTTTTTGCAGCACTGTGCCTTGCAGAGACAATGCAGAGGGCTACAGGATGGTCATGCACCAAAGCAACAGCAACTTTGCTTTGGTTAATTGACAGGCACATAGAATCCAGGCTAATAACATGGCATAAAACTTGAGGCACCTCCTGTGCCTTAGGTACTGCAAGTGTTTAGCTTAGCTAAGCATGCAGATGGATTCCTCCCCCCCGCTTTTTTACTAAGGGATCTTCTTACTACAAATTTCCTCAGGTTTCTCCTAAAGGAGCTGTTAGTTATGGGTCAGGTTTAAGCTTTGGCTTTAAAGTGTAACATTGACAAAATGTTTTTGTTGTGAATACCCTGCATCAGTATTCACTAGCATACTGGTGGTTTGAATTAGATTCATAGAATCATAGAATAGTTAGGGTTGGAAGGGACCTTTAAAAGTCATCTAGTCCAACCCCTGTTCTGTGTCACTGCCTCTGTTTACACATCTGTGAAGTGGGGGTAATAATGCACTACCAAGGGAATTCCTGGGTATGACTGAAAGAATTCAGATTCTGAGCTCAGGAATGGTACCGAAACTGAGCTGAGACCACAGGTTCAAATCGCAGTTGGGTGGCCTCAGTGTTTTGCTTAGGCTGAGGTGAGCATACTGAGACATGTTGCTCAGATGGGATTGAGAAAACTGAAGTCATACGTGATCTGCATTAACACAAAATATCCTGGGCATACGCAGGAATGTGGGTTTTCTATGGGTTTCTTGGGGTGGTTTTTTTTTGGTTTTTTTGTGTTTTGTTTTGTTTTGTTGTTGTTGTTGTTGTTGTTGTTGTTGTTGTTGTTGTTGTTTGCATGTTTTTCTTCCAGGGGGATATCCTCTACGCTAATCTTAGCAGCTGTTCTCCTCTGGAGAGCAAGTACCCTATGTTTAGTTATATAAACTACAATTTGGGTTTAGATTCTTTAGGAAAAGGTTTATATATTCAAATTCTGAAGGTAACAGTGGGAATCCTAACATAGCAAAGCTATTTCCTTGAGACCAGCACAATATTCTTTCCTAATGACCATTTCTGTTCTATGGTTTCTTCAGTCAATTTTAAAAATCCCAGAGGAGCTGATCCTCTCTTGTCCTCAGGGAAGAGGTGGTTGAACACTGTTACAGAGGTGCATTTTTACAGATGATGTCACCTAGGAGCAAGATATGACTGGACCCTGCCAATTCAGCTCTGCCTGAGGAAGGGTGAGTGGGCAGCACTGTCCTGGTTACAGCTCTGGCTCCTTCAGTGTCTGCCTCTCCAGTGGTGTAGGGGAATTACAGGATGCATGAGCAAGCAGTGGGGTGCATATATGGATGTGTGGGTGGGCAGTCAGTTCCCAAATCCTACCAGGCTGCTGGAATGGCGGGGATGTGGGAGCGTTGGTGACTGGCATGGCTGGGATGGCTCTTCCCTGCTGTTACTGTCTATGGGACGTCCTTGTTGTCCGTTCCACCTGTGCACTGCATTTTTCTAGACCACCCATGGCAGAAGTCTCACGGTGGTGATGTGTTGGGATCACCCTGCATGGCTCGACCTTAAGGAGAAGGAGCTGTGGCATTGAGCTGCACGGTTCGACCTTAAGGAGAAGGAGCTGCAGCATTGAGAAGCTGGTAAACAGCTGGATATCTGCACGGCTCAGCCTTGAGGAGAAGGAGCTGTGGTAAACAACTAAGAAGAAGTGAGGAAAACAGGAACACCTGCAAGCAGCAATCCTGACTGTGTGAGGGGCGCGTGGACAGCGCGTGATATTTTGTATATAGCCAATTGCAATAGTGTGTGTAACAGGTTGTAACCAATCATGAGTGTGTGCGCAGTGACTAAGCGAAAATTATGATATATATTGGAGTCAGACAAGACAATAAACGGCTTCAGAATATAACTCTCATAGAGTTGTGAAGTCCATCCTTCTCCCACAACTGGTGACCCCGACGTGATACGATCTCTGGGATCTCATCGTTGAACACCGGTCGAGCCATGCAGGGTGATCCCAACAGTGATGCATAATTAAAACTTGATAGGGCCTCTGCTACCTTGTGGTTGGTCTCCTCTATCTCTTCTCCTAGAAGGGAGAGAGCTGGGAAGAGTAAAAATGCCAGAAGTAGAAAAAAACTCGGAGCACGTGAGAGACTGCATCTGTCTAGGACAGTCCTTTTTTTGTATGTTTATATAGATAACATCATCTTTTGGGGAAGTATATCACAGTCCCAGCAATGACAGTTGAAGTGTTTTTCAGACAACTGGAAGAAGACTTGTGTATACAGGCCCTGGTCCTTGTGGAAGACTTTAATCATGCTGCTGCTATCTGCTGGAAGGGCAACACAACAGGGCACAAGTAATCCAGGAAATTCCTGAAGTGAATTGATGATAACTTCCTGACACAGGCGATCAGAGCTGATGAAGGGACGTGTTCTGCTGAACTTCATACTTACAAACAAGGGGTGTCCAGGATCACAACCCTGGACTTCCTGTTCAGGGATCTGCTTGGAAGAATCACTTGGGGGATGACCCTGGAGAGAAGAGGGGTTCGGGAGATCTGATAGATCTTCAGGACTTGCCTCCTTCATGCTCAAGAATGGTGCATTCTTAGTTGCAGGTAGTCAAGCAAAGGTGGACGGAGGCCTGCATTGGATGAACAAGGATCTCCTGAGAAAACTTGGAATAGAAGAAGGAAGCATGCAAGAGGTGGAGAGTCAGATGACTTGTGAGGACACACAAGATGCTGTCTAAGCATGCAGGGATGAGGTTAGGAAAACCAAAGCCCTTCTGGAGTTAAATCTTGCAAGCAACATGAAGGGCAATGTGAAGGGCTTCGACAGGTACATCAGCTGCTGGGAAGGGTAGGGAAAATGTGTACCTGCAGTGTGGCAGGGGACCTGGTGACAAAAGACAAGGCGGCAGCCAGGATACCCAATGCCTTCTCTGCCCTGGTCCGTACTGGCAAGATTTGCCATCAGGATTCTCAGACTTCTCATACCCATAGAAAAGCCTGGACATATGAAGACTTAACCCTTGGTGGAGGAGGATCGAGCTAAGGAATACTCAATCAAACTGTGACCTGGTGGGATGTATCCATGAGTGCTAAGGGAACTGGTTGCTGTCATTGCGAGGCTGTTCTGTTATCTTTGAAAGGTCATGATGACTGGGGAAGGTTCCTGAGTACTAGAAGAGAACAAAGGTCACTTCTATCTTCAGGACAGGCGCGAAGGAGGATTTGAGGAAATACAGGCTGGTCAACGTCACCTTTTAATCCTTGGGAAGGTGATGAAGGAAATTTGTTCACAAGTCATGCCTGCACAACCTGATAGCCTTCTCTGATTTGACTAGCTTGATGGATGAGGGAGGAGTTAGCGGATAATGTTTATCTTGATTTAAAAAGGCTTTCAACACTGTCTCCCATAACATCCACTTTGTCAAAAGTGATGAAGGATGGACTGAAAACTGGCATAACTGCTGGGCTTAAAGGGTTCTAATCATTGGAGCAAAGTCTGGCTGGAGGCCAGTCAATTAGTGGTTTACTCCAGAGTTTGATACTGGTGCTGGTACTGGTTAGTATCTTCATTAGTAACCTGGACGATAGGGCAGATTCAGCAAGTTTTCAGCAGATGGAAATCTTGGAGGGGCGGTTGATGTACTGGGAACTGTCAGGCTGGAGAATGTGGCTGACAGGATCCTAAAGTTCAACAAAGAGAAAATGCAGAGTCCTGCACCTGAAGAGGAGCAACTCCTTGCACCAGTAGGTGTTGGAGGCCAACTGTATGGAAAGCAGCTTTACAGAAAAGGGTCTGTGACAGCAGTGTGCCCTCATGACAAAGGCCAGCAACATTGGGGGCTGCATTAGGAGGAGTGTTGTCAGCAGGTTGAGGGAGGTGATTGTTCCCTTCTACTCAGCACCATTGAGACAATACCTGGAGTGCTGTGTGCAGTTCTGGGTTCCCTAGCACAATAAAAGCATGGACATACTGGAGCGAGTCATGAAGATGATTGAGGGATTGCAACATCTGACATGTTGAGAGGCTGCGAGTGCTGGGACTGTTCAGCCTGGAGCAGAGGAGGCAGAGGGGGATCTTGTCAATGTGTCAATACCTGATGGAGAGAGTAAAGAAAGTGGAGCCGGACCCTTCTCAGTGAAAGGCAAGAGGCAACAGGCACAAACTGAAATACAGAAAATTTCATTTAAACATACAAAAAAGTTTTGGTGTGTTGTGTTTTGGGGTTTTTTTTTTCTTGGTGAATTTTTTTTTTACTGTTTACAGAAAAGGGTCTGTGACAGCAGTGTGCCCTCATGACAAAGGCCAGCAACATTGGGGGCTGCATTAGGAGGAGTGTTGTCAGCAGGTTGAGGGAGGTGATTGTTCCCTTCTACTCAGCACCATTGAGACAATACCTGGAGTGCTGTGTGCAGTTCTGGGTTCCCTAGCACAATAAAAGCATGGACATACTGGAGCGAGTCATGAAGATGATTGAGGGATTGCAACATCTGACATGTTGAGAGGCTGCGAGTGCTGGGACTGTTCAGCCTGGAGCAGAGGAGGCAGAGGGGGATCTTGTCAATGTGTCAATACCTGATGGAGAGAGTAAAGAAAGTGGAGCCGGACCCTTCTCAGTGAAAGGCAAGAGGCAACAGGCACAAACTGAAATACAGAAAATTTCATTTAAACATACAAAAAAGTTTTGGTGTGTTGTGTTTTGGGGTTTTTTTTTTCTTGGTGAATTTTTTTTTTACTGTGAGGGTGATCAAATACAGGAATAGGCCTAGAGAGATTGTGGAGTCTCCATCCTTGGACATGCTCAGAACCTAATGGAAGTGGTCCTTAGCAGCTTGCTCTAGCAGACCCTGCTCTGAGCAGAGGGGTTGGACTAGCTGATCTCCAGAGGCCCCTTCCAACCTCTGCATTTCTCCTGTGATGCTATGACAGGAGCAAAAATCAGGCAGGAAAATATTCTATGAGGGAGGTTGTCTGTGGTGGTTTTTTGGGGTTATTTTTTTTTTTTCTAATTAGATTCATGGTAAATGAGAAATAATAATAGACATTGCACCTTTGCTTGTCTGGCATGTCAATTGCCATAATGGATACTTTCTAGCCCTGGCAATTTGTTCAACTCTAGATCCACATACATCTAGAAATCAAAATGCAATCTGTAGCCATGTGCACATCAGTGCTGAAGTTGGCAGTGGTGATGTAGTAGAGGCTGTGTTGTAATGCTTACCAGGAAAGAGGAGGGTATCATAAAAAGCCATTGCAAAAGGGTGTAGGAAGATAGATAAGAATGGTATGTAAATATCTTTTTTAAGTAGATGCAGTTTCCAGGAGAAGGAAGGTAGAAGTTAGAAATTAATCTTCAGAGCTGAGCTCCATTACTGGGTTACTAAGTAACTTGCACTGTACCTTACCTTGGAATTCGTCCTGCAATATCCCATAGCCCATGCTCTCTTGCTGCGATCTGATTTCATTCCAAGTTTTTCAGATTCAGCGCTAAGATAGTCGATGGCTCGCCATCATTATTGCAAAGCTTCTGCTATATTAGTGCACAGCTCTGTTCCTTTTCTACTCTGATATCAGAGTCCTTGAGGTGAATTGCCTTTTTGGCTGGCAAGAGGAGTCGTGTAAAAGGAGAAAAAAAATATTGAAGGAGGCTGCATTCTCTCACTTGGAGAGTTCTGGCCGCCTTTTTATGAGGAGGGGAACAAGACCTACCCCATGGATTTGTGCACCCTTAACTCTGTGAAAGACAGGTCTAGATCCAGAGTTTGAGGGTGATATTTTCATTCTTGGTAGAACTTGACTTTTAATTCTTCGTTCTCTCTTCTTGCATACTTCTAGGTTACGGTACCAGGGATATTTTGGAGGTGTAACTGCTCTAACAAGAGATCAGTTTTCCAAGGTGAATGGATTCTCTAACAACTACTGGGGTTGGGGTGGAGAAGATGACGACCTTCGAATCAGGTAATAAATAAAAGGCTATAGGGAAATGGGTGTGAGAGAGGGAGGCATCGATTTAAAAAATAAAAAAAATTGATGTGACTTCACACCTAGCCTTCAATTCAAAACAGTATTGCAGTGGGGATTTGGAGTGTGAGATGCGGTTCTGTGAAGGGTTTCCTCTTTGAAAAGGTTGGGCTTGCCTGGTCCTCCTCCTGACAGCCTTATTTGGTTGGGTGTGGCATTTGTTGTGGGTTTTTTTTGGTTTGTTCATTTGGTTTTTGTCTCAGCCACACAGAATTTGTATTCTTGCTTGGTTATAACCAATTTCTGAAATAATAAGATTGAAGTCTTTGGAGTGTGATTTGCCAAAGAGACATAAATGTATTGAGTTCCAATACTTTGCAAGAGTGTGGGAGTGTTTTGGTGAGATTGGGTATTTTTGCATTCATTGACTACCATGGTTTGCTCCGAGCAGGGCTTAGTTTTTATGTGGGTGGTGGTGACGATAGATAATATAGTGAATAACTTGAATTTCAGAAAGACTGCATGTATGTGCATATGTACTTTGGTCTTGTGAAAAGTAGTTTTGCAGACATGCCTGTCAAAGTAGGAGAAACTTGTTAGTTGGAGAGGTTTAGTGGGACAAAGAAGTCAATGAAGGTTTTATGTTGCTCTTTTGCCCTTTGCCTAGGAGGAAACCTCTAATCCTGCATTGCTGGTAGTGAAGGAAGGAAAAAACCCAACAACACAACTTCACAAACCTGCAAGCTCTGCTGGCAGAGCCTGTCAGTTTGTAACTTGGGTGTACTCTGTCATTCTTAAGTGTTTGTCCTTTTCAATGGCTTAAATATGCAAACAAACATTTGGAGGACATAAAATTCATACCCCTGGTGATATTAAATAATTATACTGGTGAAATCAATTGTGTTAAAGTTAGAAATTTCCAAATGGAAGTTTTTCTCTGGGTCAGTTCAGCTGTATCTCAAGAAATCTAAAAGCTCTGACAATGACATGGATTTCTGTCCCTTCTTAATCACAACTTTTTGTGTCTCTCTACCCCTAGCTAGATACACCATCTTCTTCTCTGTGACCTCTTGGGAGCTGGCTTTTGTAGTGGTAGGGCATAGTCTGGTACCATCTTATTCCTCAGCTTCTTGAGAAGTGTCATAGTTAATGAGCGAACAAAGGTGATAAGGGTGTTCTTTCAAATGTTCCTGTGGGCAGCAGAGGACCAGCAGTGCAGCAGATCAGCAGGATTTACTGAGGGTCTCCACAATGTTTGCAAGTGGTTGGAATCAAAAGTGATGCTTTTGTGGCATGGCAAAGCGATGCCACGCAAGTGGCACCTCATAACTTTGCAGCTGTTGTGTTCTTGGTATGGAAACCAAATCGTGTGACCCAGAGTACACGCTGCAGCTGGCCTTGGCCCATGCCTTTCCTCTTGGGTAGATCTTGGACTGGGCTGGTTACAGAGTTTGCGGCGGGTAGGTAATGGGAAGCTTGCTGTGTTGGCAGGTTGTTGTACGGAGATCCTCACAGCCTTCCTCTGCCAAGACAGCAGATGGCAGCATCCCCTTCGGTATCTACAAGAACTCGGGGCCTGAGCGCTCTAGGTCCTGCTCTTGTGCCTCTATGCTAAATGTGATGGTCTCTTTTGGGCCCCTTCCTAAGGTGTGGAGTCCAAAGATATTTTCAGATCATTTATTTGATAATTTACTGCTACAGACAGTCACTGGAAAGCTGTAGGGGTCAGCTTCTTCAGTTCTTGGTTTCTTACTGCTCTTTCAGCTGCTAATATGACTAGCAAAGACCTGGGCTATTCCTTAATTCCATTGTCATGAAGATAATCCTTTCTGCTGGCAGAGCAAAATTGTTGTGTTCCACAGATACGCTTAAGGCTAAAAGCTTCAACCAAGTGCCTGATGTCAGACACTTAAATCTGTGCATGGGGCTTAGTGTTTCTAGCACTGCTCTTGGAAAGAAATTTTTCTTCATGTCAACAAATAAAAATTTTGCAGCTGTGGGCCAAGTATTTAAAAAAGAAAACAATCTTTTTTTAAGTGGAGAACTATCAAGTATAGGCACTTTATTGCAGGAGTAGAGATGAACTTGTTGCACAATGTGTACAATCTTGCTACAGCCCTTCTAGGCTTAATACAGGACAGTACAAACTAGACCAGATAATACTAATTGAAATGTACTGTGTTGTATAATGTGTGCTTAAAGGTCTACAGGATCTGTACTGTAGTAGCTACCTGCTTCTGCTCAAAAGAAAGCGGTATCTGTCACCCTACTGGACCTGTTCTCCAGAAACAACTCTGAAGCCCATTTTCTCTGGCAAAATGGGTTGTGGAGGAGATGAAGATGAGTTTTGTACAGTTCTCTGTGCTTGCTTTGATGGCCTCTAGAAGAGATGAAGTCTCCAAATGTTGGGGTTTTTTTCCTTAAGAGCTTGTTATAGGTGATGTCTTGCTTATGGCACTATTGTTTCTTCCAGGGTTGAGATGCAGAAGATGAGAGTGGTGAGGCCGTCTGCTGATGTAGCCAGATACACAATGATCTTCCACAAACGAGACCACGGTAATGAGGAGAATGGAGAGAGGTGAGTCAAGAACAGTGTTCCACCTTTCCTTGTCTTGCTGTGTGGCTAGGAGCCAGGCACCAAGTTCTTTGCTCTAGGCCAAGTAGGCATTTTGTGGTACCCAGAGGCTCTGGAGTACACCCCTGTGACACCACTGTTTACAGCTGGCAGCTGTTGTTCTGTACATGAGATCTGCCCAGAATCCACTGGGTTCCTTAGAAACTTCTGAAGTTATCGTGACATTGCATGTGGTTTAAGCACATGATTTCAGACATGAAACCAAAGGACTTCTTTTCACTATGTCTGATTGTCCATCCTAAGGACATGAAAACAGGACTTCACACTCCCAATAGATAAAGAATGGCTGTAGCTCTGCCTCTTTAAGTTTGCTAGTGGTGGCAAAGAGCTCAGAACTCTTCTATGCATGTCAATGAAGATTTTTCTCCTCTTTGTCCTCAGGATGAAGCTTCTACGTCAGGTATCTAGAACATGGAAAACAGATGGGCTCAACTCTTGTTCATATAAACTGCTCTCAGTGGAACATAACCCTCTATATGTCAACATCACGGTGGATTTCAGCATGCAGCCGAAGATCTCGTAAGGGTGGATACCAGGCAGGTTATAGGAAATGGCAACAAATCCTGTTTGTGGTTGCTTTTACAGCAGATGACTCTCAGCACTCTGCTTGAAAGAGTACTTCAGTAGCACAGGAGAACGTTTTTCTTCACAGCATCCAATTGATTGGGTGAGAATTTCCTTTTGTGAGGACTGGAGATACAGACTGAGCCAAGGGCCAGGTCTTCATGTTCTTCTATGCACTTTCTGCTGGGACATTATTGCAAAAGTGTCCTTGTTTGGGCTGGTCCAGTGGAAGGAACTATGTCTCCTGAAAAAAAATTTTGTTCTTGCAAATACTCCTAAACTTCTTATTTGTTGTAGGGGGAAGGCTACCTACCACTGCCAATGTTGGCATGAATTCAAAAGGAACAGGATAGTCTTTTCTCATTAAAAGCACAAGAATTCTTCAGCAACTACAACAACTTGCTGAGAAAAGCTCATTTTTTCCAGCCTGAGGAAAAACTGCTTACATGTGAGGGAAGGGCAGTAATGGTAATAGGGGCAGAGATGTTTAAAATCTCTCAATAAATTACACTCCATTGAATTCAAAAAGCTTCTCTTGTTCTTCATGAGCTCAAGCTCACTGTGTCAAAATGTAAGTCTTGGTTCTGCAGCAGGCTCTGTGTTTTTCAGGAGAGAGGTGGAAGGAAATGCAGTAGCCAACTATGTCAGAAGGAAAGAAAGTGTTGTCTGCACTTTTTAATGCTTTGGGCTGCACTGTCAGCAAAGTGTCTATTTGCGAGTCTTGTTTTAGAAGATTGGTGAAAGTCCAGTATGCTGCAGGATTTCTGCTAAAATCTCAGAGCACTTTCCTTACTGCTTTATACCTAACTGTCCTTATACCTGCTTGTTGGATGTGCATCCCTGGCAGGTAGATGTGAAGCCAGGCTTGGGAGAGTTTCTTTTAGGACACATTTATTAAGAATTACATGACAAAAAGGAGCTTCTGCTTTATATAATACTGAAGAATAGCTCTCTGGCTGGTTGACTCATTCCAACTGTAGAGAAGGCTGAAACCTTAAATAAATCCCTAGGTGCTAATGGGATAGATGCAGCTTTTCAGTGAACGGGGAATTTTAGTATCTACAAGTAACAAGCAAAAATACCCTGTCTGTGTCATGCTTGCAAAATAACTGGACGTGGTAGGCCATTCTACCACCTGACTGACTGACTTTCTCTGTAAAGATTATAGAAGGGGGAAGGTCTTGGGCAGCCTGTGTCAGTCTTACAGTTGGGTAAGTACAAATGCCTTCCCTCCCAGGGTCACAGCTCCACAAGTGACATGTTCATTTCAGCTATTGCTCAAACAATTAATTATCTTTCAAAGTTGATCTACTAGATTAATTTCCCTACTCTGAGCAGGAGGTTGGACTAGGTAAGAGCCTCTGTTCCCCTTCAGCCTGAATTTCTTAGAGCTACAATAAAAACATTTAAACACTGATAGATGAGGCCAGAAAAAAGGCTGGCTTCAAGGCAACTTTCTCCTTTATTACACTCTTGTTAAATATTCTAGAAAATCTTAACCCAAACATGTAACTCCATTTATTTTACTCAAGATATTTACACAACTGTAGCTTCAGCACTCTCCCAAAATACAGCACTTCAGAGACCCATCTGACACAATGGCTTGAAGCCCAGAGCTATCCAGCTGTGGGTCAGGTCAAAGAGACCTTGGTCACCGAGGGCTAGGTGGGAGGTCTGGCTCAGTGGTTAGTTTTACAGTGCTTTGACAATTTTTACAGTAAGCCACAGCCTGATTATTAGCTATTGTGCCCTATTCCTGAAGCCTTTTCTTCTAAATCTTAAACAGTCAGAAAAGTGAAATGTGTGAAAGACAGAAGGATTGGTCTCAGGTGATGCAGACTCCACACCACAACAGGAGGTAGAGGCTGAATGTCCACAGGCATGCTGCCATGCTGAGCCCAAACTTTCATTCCCTTAAGAAAATGGGGGAACATATCCAATGTCCACAGTGATGTTGGTATAAAGAGGATGCTTTGTCCTGGAAAGGAGCTTGAACTCTAATGAATTCATTCCATCATCCTTCCATGTTTTTCTGGTGTTGTGTCGAGAAGTAGGCCTGAAGAAGGAAGAATACCTGCAGTTAGACAGAAGAAACAGACTTCCAGCAGGGAAGAAAGGCATTTTATAAGACTAAATAGATTAGAGTAAGTTCATGCTGAGTATTCTGAACAAGGAAGACAATTTGGACCAGAACCTGATCAGCCAGGGAGACCAGGGAGGTGGTAACTACAATCCACAAAAGAAACTGGCAGCAGCTAGGAGACCTAGGAGTGCCACATGAACGCTTGCAGCAGCAGCATACACAGGCTGCTGGAGGTAGGTTTTAGGACAGGGTTGTTATGGAGACCTGAGTTTTGAGATGATAGAGGGAAGCCTGCACTGTCAGTATGAGAAGCCTCCACCACACTTGACCTAACACCCACTCCAGCTCTTTTATGTAAAACTGGGTCTTTGCTAAGGTCTCTCATAGCGCCTTCTTCATGTCTTCAAACTAGAATGCTGCTTTCCTTTTTATGGCACACTGTAAATCCACACAGATTGAAGAGTGAGTTCTTATTATAGGGAAGCTGTAACAAAGTGCCTCTTCAAACTGAACTCTCCCTGTTTAAAAAAAATACTGCCTGCCTTGTAAAGTTTTATTCCCTAAATAATTTGATGCTTAAGTCTGATATGTGTTAGCTTCCTAGCTAGCACATGTCCTTTACATTTGAAGGGTTTCTCCTAGTTTCCTGTTGTTGAGGCAGAAGCAGAATGATTCAGTTGAAACTGACTGGGAGCCACCTTTAAATAAATAGCTGCAGGAAAACAAGTAGTGGCATTAGGTATACTTACTGCCTGTTCTAAGGAAGACAATGGTAACAGTCAACCTGCCACAAGGCAAAGAGTAGCTGCCTAGCTGTCATGTCCCACCCTGAGCAGTTACCTTCTCCACATCTCTTGTGTCTCTGTCTCTTCATTGTAGTCCATCACTTTGTAGCGTCCAAGGTGAGGTGATGTCCGGACTATT